CCACGATAATAAGAAAATCTAGGGAAGGGTTAGTTCCAAGGTCGAATGATCTGCTAATTGCAGCAGATCAGTACTCTACCATTAGGTGAACGGCCGATGAAATAACCTAAAGAAACTCTGCCTATGCCGGTCCCAAGCCCGGATGTGAAAAGAGGAGGGTTGGATGTAGAGGTTGGCAGCCTCCATCCGTAAAAAACCTCATTGCTACTCAAAGTACAACAAAGAATCAAGTAAATGCTACAGCGTCCGTGGTAGCCGACGCGCGTTCCGCATGGCCCGGCGAACGTGACAAATATGCGAGGGTCCCCGACGCAGAGGACGGCGTAGGGGGGTAACCAGGCTAGTTCAGGAGCCCTTGCCCTCCCATAGGCAAGCCCATAACGCGGATTCCGGGAATGACACGGGGCGAAACGAGCCTAGCGCTCAAAGCCCACGGCGAAGATCGTCACCCTGGAGCGAGTTGCGAAAAAGAACCGCCTAGGTCAGTCTGGTCGAAAGGACACAGAATGGCTAACGGAAACGTCCACTGGGCTGCCTTGGTAGACTCCTGGACAGCCAACCGTGGACGTGATGAACCATATAGAACGGCAGCAGCCCTTAAGACTGCCTATAACAAAATAGTTAAAGAACCAAGGCAAGAATCCCCACATAATACGAGGGAGTCAACCCGCTCAAATGCAAGGGAACTTACCCTCATAAGTGAAGGGATGCCACTTGGTAATGGGCGAGATACCAGTTCTAACAATGATGACACCTTACGAATGAGCAATCCTGCACCCCTTCCGGGCGCAAGTACTCATGAAATAACAGCGAGGTCGTCTTTGGAATGCCTCTCTGGTAATCCTAACGACGAGGTCTCCGATTCCCGGGTGACGCGTCGAAAGGGTTATTGGAGCACGAATGAAGATAGATAGACTGGTGTCAATGGTCCACCACTATAAAAATCTCGGAGGAGGGCGTGTACAATGGGACGACCTAGGCAATGCCTGGGAAAGTCACCGGCGTTCGGAAGACCCCCCGAGAAGCAAAGAAGCACTGAAATGTGCGTATGCGAGAGCATCGAAACAGCAAAGAATGAGCGGGACCAGCAATGTCTCCACTGCATCACGACCGTCAAGCCTGCAAACTCGCTCACTACAGAGTGAAGCGGCTTCCGAACTGCAGTCAGACGACAGCATGGAACGCACATCTGCATTGGAATTGCTCTCGAGCACACAGGCTAGTGGTAACGAACTTAATGCCAGCTCTGTCAATGATGATACCTTGCGAACAGCTGTATCATCATCAGAAGATCTCTCTGGTATCCTTGTTGATGAGATCCCCGGTCCCCGGGTGATGCAACGACAAGGTCACAAGAGCACGAATGAGACAGATAACATGGTATCATTGGTTCAACACCACGAAAGTCATACAAATGAAGAACTCTCAACAAGCTGGACTGAGCAACAATCATTAACATCTGGCCACGAGGTGCACTTGAACAGAAGCAGCAGTTCGAGGGCCCGCGATGCTCATTCCAGCGAGGGAGAGTCGATAACAACTGGTGAAATGAGGTCGCCAAGTGAAAGCGTAGAGCAGACCTCAGAAGAAGAAAGACTCAATTGCATGACACAAAGTCTGCAGAGTCAGCAATATGAGATGTCCGAGATGGGAATCTCTCGCTTGCAGTCGAGTCTTGCCGTGGAAAGTCCATCTGCCGAAGTGAGTCTCTCGCAAGAGAGCTCCATAAGGCCACGTTTAACCAGGCAAATGCAGCGAGAGGAACTCGGAACACCTCAGCAAACTACTGTCCAAGAGGTACACCATACATCACCCGCGTTGCAGCGACCACCGATCCAAGGATCGCGAAGGCAACGCAGTAAAGGTGTACTCTGGACAGAATCTGAGCTTGCTAAACTTGCAAACCTGGTTGAGGAGCACCGAGATGTGAGTGGTCGCATTAACTGGGAGTCCGTGAGGACCTCTTGGGACAGCTCACTAAGCGAAAATGGCCAAGTTAGGAGTTTAGCAGCCCTGAAGTGCGCATATGGAAAACTCGCCAGACCACTGGAACGAGTTCGAAGAATAGCGCCGCTCAATGAAACAGAATCACCCTCTGAGGGAAATATAAACCAGCCTAATGTCACTGGAGCAGATGTTCAGCAGAACGAAAACAGCTCTGTCGAAGCTACTGAACCAACAAGAACAGGCGCTACAAGCTCTTCGGAAACGAATGACGCAAATAGTGCCTTACGAGAGCTAATGGCAGAGCGATTCAATCGCTACTACCATATAGCGGTTCAGTCGCACGATAGACAACCTATAAGGAAGACCAAATGGAGAGATTCCCAGAGGAGATCCTGCGGCTCGGGAATGACATCATTCGCGAACATCTTAGCTGCAGGAACTCCGCACGGAAGAAACGCTGACATCCTTAAATGCTGCAGTGTACGCTATTGGTAAAACAATAGCAACTGTAGTGCTCGACGATGAGATCAGAGAAATCTGGTAAAACCCATCAAAAGCTCAGAGAAAATAAGAGCGAATGAGAGATTATCTCAGGAAAGACAATCTCCTCGCTATCACACGAGCTTAACAGAAGGGGTAGGAACCAGGGAACGCCTAGCAGGCTATTCCTGGAAATTGCTAAACAACAAAGAGTTTCGACGACTACAGAGATCCAGCGACTCCTTGTAAGATACAAGGATGAGCTAGGAATTGTTAACTCCGCAATCAAAGCAATTCAAGACTCCTTGAAAAGGATCCGAGAGCGACGGCGGGGTTACCCTGCTGTCGCTAGGGAACCACGCGAACAGGAGGTCAACGTCCCTGTTGCGGAAGTGCGCGAGCACTGGAAATCTATCATTGGTGAACCGCAGCAATTCCAACCTTCTGATGACCTAAAAGCGTGGGCCCAAGGACTAGGAGAGGAGTCAAACAATCTAGGCATGGAGCTTCCTGAAGAGGTTTGGGCGAACATATTCGCAAAAATCAAACCATGGAAAGCTACCGGCCCAGATGGCATCCAAGGTTTCTGGTGGAAGAAATTGCCGGAGGCCAAGGAGAGGCTAAAAATGTGGTGTAAACAAGCACTGCAGAGACCTCATCAAAATATCCCTAAATGGCTATGCCGCGGGAAGGTCGTTCTGATCCCGAAAGGAAGCTCCCAAGCCAGAGGCCCAGGAGACTTCCGCCCGATAGCGTGCTTGAATACATGCTATAAAGTCCTAACAGCAATGATTGCTCAGCAAATCCTCAGAACTGCCAGCTCCGTGCTTCCGCAGGAGCAGGTGGCCTTACGAAAGGGAATCTGGGGATGTATTCATGCGCATACGCTGGATCAAACGATCTGTAAAGATGCTATAAGACGCAATAAACCGCTGCATATGCTTTGGGTCGATATGACCAAAGCGTTCGATTCGGTATCACATGGAGCGATTAAATGGATACTGGCGAGATCTGGTGTGCCGTCCCCGACTAGGAGACTGCTATCCGTGATCATGTCAAGGCAGAGTGTAAGATATTGCGGATACCAGAATGGACGTATGGTCAGGAGCAAACCTCTGGATGTCAAAAGAGGAGTAATGCAAGGGGACACCCTTAGCCCACTCCTTTTTTGCATGGCAATAGCCCCCATCTCGGCGAAGCTGCGGAATTCCGTCAGCCCGTATCAAACAGCCACGGGAGCGCTGTCGCCTAACAGTGAACCTTTAGAGATCAACCACCAATTCTATATGGATGACCTAAAGGTCTACACATCCAGATGGGATGATATCGCCAAAGCAAAACAAGGGATAGAAAAAGTTGCCGGGGAACTGGGACTACAAATGAATCCCACTAAATGCGCGGTAAATTCGCTCAACGTTCCCCAGCAGCTTACCGCAACAGAGGAAATGGAAAACATTCCAGTCCTCGGCTCTAGTTCACTATATAAATATTTAGGAGCTGAACAGAATGCCCTAATCAACATAGATGAATTATGGACTAGAGTTGTTGCGAAGTCGGAAACCACTGCAGTGAGGATTATGCAAAGCATCCTCACAGTTCGCCAAAAGGTGAACGGATATAATCAAGTGTTGATTCCGAAACTCAAATATGCCTTCTCATGTGTAGT